CACCCTAGCCCCGAGCCTCTCCAATGCCCCAAACCCCTCATCCCCAGCACCAGCCCTCATTCCCCCGCACCCTAATCCTCTGCCCCAGGCCTGAGCCCCCTCTTGCATCTTCCACCCCTCAGCCCCAGCCCTCATCCCCCCACACCCTAATCCTCTGCCCCAGCCCTGAGCCTCCTCCTGCATCATGAACCCCTCATCCCCAGCCAGAGCCCTCATACCCCCACACCCTAATCCTCTGCTCCATCCCTGAGCCCCCTCCTGCATCATAAACCCCTCATCCTCAGACCCACAGCCCTCACCCCTGCATCCCCTCCTATCCCCAAACTCCCTCCCAAAGCCTGCACCCCCTCCCTTTGCACCGCCTCCCACCCCCAAACTCCATCCCAGAGCCTGCACCCCTCAACCCCTCCTGCACACCCACCCCTGCCCCAGCCTGGAGCCTGCACCCAGCACCCAAACTCTATCCCAGTTTGATTTCAGTCTCTTCCCTAGCAGCCTAAATTTGTCCTCCAGGACATCTCTCCTACCCTTCCCTATGTCATTGCTACCTACATGTACCACCGGCTCCTCCCCAGCACTACACATAAGTCTATCCAGATGCCTCGAGAGATCCGCAACCTTCGCACCAGGCAGGCAAGTCACCATACAGTTCTCCCTGTCATCACAAACCCAGCTATCTATGTTTCTAATGATCGAATCTCCCATTACTAACACCTGCCTTTTCCTAGTGACTGGAGTTCCCTCCCCCGGAGAGGTAACCTCAGTGCGAGAGGATACCCTAACACCATCTGGAAGGAGGGTCCCAGTATGGGAAGGCTTCCCTCTGCTCCCATTGACTGCTCTGCTTCCCTGGGCCTTTCATCCTCCTCAACAGCACAGGGGCTGTCTGAGCGGAGGTGGGACAATTCTACAGTGTCCCGGAAAGCCTCATCAACATACCTCTCTGCCTCCCTTAGCTACTCCAGTTCCGCCACCCTGGCCTCCAAAGTCCATACGCGGTCTCTGAGGGCCAGGAGCTCCTTGCACTGAATGCACACATCCGCCACCCGCCCACAGGGCAAGTAATCATACATGCTGCACTCAGCGCAATAAACTGTATAGCCCCCACTCTACTGCTGGGCTTCTGTCTGCATTGTCTCCTGCAGCTATCTAGTTAATGAAAGGGTTTTGTTTAAATCAAAAAGTTTTGAATGTAGTTTAGTTTACAGGTATTAAATAACAGCGAATGAACCTTGCCCCCTTCCCAACTCCCTTGTGAAACTCCCTGTTAGCAGCCCCTGGTCGCTTGCTCACTGCTTTATAAAGCCCTGGCCTTCTTGATAGCCGCATCCACTGACCAAGGCTCAGCCAATTAACAGAGGCTTCTGGCTTTCAAACCTTACTTTGAAGCTCACAGCTTACAACTACCAGCCACAGCACACGGTCCTTCAACCAACCAACCAGACAGACAAACACAAGCTCAGCACACAGCAAGTAACCTCCAAACACAAACACACACTTATTGATCCAAAAGTCATTTTCAAAAGTGACTCAGTCACTTAGGAACTTAAATTCCATTTTCAAATATGTGTAGCATTTAGGCTCCAAAGTCACTTAAGAGCCTTTACAATTTTACCTTATCTCTATTTTTTAAATATATTTTAAATACTAAGTTACAAGCAAACAAAAGTAACACCAGATGAACATTTAAAAACAATCAAAGGTGACACCCTGGCACCACCTTATTCACCACTATCAAATAATTAGGATATGTTTTGCACAAAGTATGCCTTGTAAGGTATCATTCTAAAAGTCTTGATCTGCTAGACATTAATATCTCGTTGGATTGTATGTGCTATCATCGTATGTGAAGTTATGAAGTTTGGCTATGTATGTGTTACTGAAACATGTTGTGAGGTTGAAAACACCCACAAGCAGCCTTTCAGGTACAACAGTAAAAAGGCCAAACAATGTTAATGTCTTACTGAGGAAATGTACACAAGCACAAGGATTACCCCAGGAACTGTGTACAATAGAAACCTCTCAGAAATAGCACTACACAATGGGAACTGTTTGACCCAGGTCACAGCAAAAGAGCTTTCCAGCAAGTGGGAAGAAGATATAAGGGGGGGGGAGGGGGAATGACAATATGATGGTACCTCACTCTCCCCACAACAACACACCTGGAAATATCTGAGAAGCAAAGACTGAACTAGGGGAAGAGATGGTCCCAGGCTAAAGGGGTTTCTAGCCTGTGTATGAAAACCTGGGAAACTCAAACTGCAAAGCAAAGGCAGCTTGTGCCTTAAGAATTTGCTAGGCTGGTTATCACTCAGGGTGAGAATTTGCTAATTCATATCCTACCTATCTAGTATGTTAATCTCAGTTTGCGATTTTGTTTATTTACTAGGTAATCT